CATCTTCCTTCCGAGGAGTGGCTCGTGGGTTTGAACCACCAGCCTTCTAGTTAGCAGTCAAGTACCTTAGGCACTATGCTACCTACCTTAAATGAAGTTTCCATGACATCAGTTTTATCCAGGTTACATTAAATCCGTTGGACAGAAAAAAATGAAATTGAAGTCAGGAACATGTAAGAAAATATGATATAGCACACTTATGGAAATAATGCATGGGAGGTTTGCAGAAACTTCCAATGTGTGTGTTATTTGTGTAAAATACACAGATATAGACATGTGCTTGGCAGGGTCTTTTGCCTGGCTGTTTCCTTTCCTGCAGTACTATTTCCTCAGATAGCTGCATTGCAATTTCTTTTACCTTTTTAAAATCTCTACTGAAATGTTACCTCTCCAAAGAGGCTATGCCGATCTCCCCTACTTTAACATGCAATAGTATCTCCCTGTAGGCACGGCAGATTTCTTTTATTCTGCAGTACTTTTATTTTTTCCCACTGTGCTTCTCACCTCATGGCATGTTTTGTAATTTACTTTTTTATTTTGTATTTTTTAATTTATGTTTTATTCAGAGTTGATTTTATCTTTTGCCATCCTCCTCTCTCCTCCCCATTATAAGCTAAGCCCCACAAGGGCAGAGGTCTTTGTTTTACCTACGGATGCATTCTAAGCTCCTGGAATGGAGCCTGGCACACAAGAGGCAATCTGGAAATATCTGACAAATTAATGATCAGAAAAAAAAATTTTTTAAATATATCTATATATCTCACACGTAATGGTTCGGGTCTCTTCAAATCCAATCAATGTCTACTTCAAAATGCAGAGCACACTCTAATCTAGACATAGTTAACATCATGCTTCTTTTACAGTCCTGCTGACCCCTTATATAAAACTTCTTCCATTATTCTTAGACTCAGAAACTCACTCAAATGCTACTCGATTTTTATTTTTCTAATGTACCTTTTTTTTCCCTGTGAGACTGACCACTACTGGCCGAGACAACACTCTCTACAATGAGAAGCACTCCAGGGTCTCTTCCTGTGTACCATTCGCTATTGAGAACTGAACAGAGGTATTTGAGGACGCAGGTGGAAGGGACATTTCAAAGGATAAAAACATTCTTTCTGAGGGATCTTGTCCTTAGGAAGCTGCTACTGTTTATCCTCTCTGTCTTGTTCTGTCCTCTAAGCACTTTAGAAAACAGATGTTAATGTTTCAAACTAAGGACAGAGAAATTAGTCTGAGACAGTGAAATAAGGTTAGCTTCACTCCCATAGCACCCTAGGGAAGGGCCCCAGCTTTAGAAAGTCTAGGGATAAATAGGAAACATGCCATTTCTCTTGGAAGGGAATTGAGCAAAATGTGAGGAAATACATACAGCTTCCAAACTTCAGCGGGCAGGCATGCACGTCCATGGGAAAGTCTTCTAGGTGCATGGGGCACTCGGCATGAATTGTTAACCTAAAAGGTGGGAGAAGAGAAATTCAGTGACGCTGAAGCAAACAGTATGAAACACCAAGCTCAATTATTATTCACCAGCACTGGCTGGCCCCTAAGAGCAGCGGTCGGTTCTGTTTGTTTGGATTCGCTGAGGTTCGAGTCTTTAGGAGCAGAAAGGGTGGGTTAAATGGACCAGTAGCCTCTCAGAACAGCATGCACTGTGTGGATTTTGGCATCAGCTCTGAACCTCACCCTGCCACCTTTAGAAAAACAAGTCGAACTTCTCTGCCTTGCGTCCCCTTAACCAGCTGCCAAGAAGCAGCACTGACTCATTCGCTCCCGATCACAATTTAGTTGTCTCTGCAGTTGGGTTAATAAGCCCAGTTCTTCTCAGAAGGCTATCATGTAAGGTAACCAATTTCAAGATGGCACTGGAGAGGAAACACATGTCAAAAGAGTACCTTTCCCATGACAGTGAACACACACAGAAGACAGCTCTGCTGCTCACTGGAACTGCAAGAGATGGCAAGAGAACACACACACCCTTCAGAAAATACAAAGGCCAGGGAGGACGTGGGAGACCTCTGAGGGCAAGTCTGAGAGACTGGCACGAGGGCCCCAGGCCTTCCCCAATGGGCGTCTGTATGGGCTATGACTTGCCATGCAGTGCTCCCCCATCCCTCAAGGTGGCTTGCTGTCCTTTTCTCCTCCCATCTCCTTCCCTCCCTCTCAGAAACCGTTTTGAAAGTCCTACAAAAGCCCCTGTGCTCAGGTATAGGAGCAGAACTGGCAGGCTTGGTCCAGGGTCCTAGTGCTATTTCTTTCTAATGGAGGGAGACAAAGAATCGAACGTCTGCACACACACACATTGTGATTAGCACTATGAAAGAGTACAGGGTACAGGGAGAACTCGAAGCACTGCACCTGGCAAACGACAAGCCTCGCTTCCCCTTTAGTCACTACCTTGGAAATGGCAGTCTTGCAGTGGAAGTGTGGGAGAGTGGCCAAAGTGTGCGCATCGGAATCAGGCAGACCTACCCTCCAATTCTGATCCCACCCCTTCAGATCGCGAGAGCTTGCTGATGCCGTGTGTTCCTTCCGTTCACTGCTGTATCTCCATCATCTAGTACAATGCTGGGCACATAGCAGGAATTCAGACTGCCTGCTGAATGAAGGACCGTATGAATAAATGAGGTGCAACGTCAGCCGGGATGGGAGGAGCATCTAGGAAGAAGTGGGCCATGAGGCTGGGAAGGTGTCACAGGGTTTTGAATGTCACTTAAAAACCTAGACATTCCTGGTCTGTCAGATGGGAAGTTCCTTACAGGGCCTACAAAAGTCTCCTCACTCTAGAGGCGGGAAAACAAAAGCCCAGAAGGAGAAGGAACTTTCCTGGAATCACACATCTCTATGGTGGCAGAGGCCAGTGTTGGAGCATTTCCCACTTCACGGCACAGGAAAGGGTGCTTCCAAGCAAAGCATTTCCAGCTGAAGTTTCTGCCCAAAGTAATCGGGGCCAAAGCCAGCGATGCTGCTGTATCTGCATCTGTTAGCACCCCACCTACGTCAGGACAAGGAGAGGCTGCCCATTCTGGCAAACCCAGGATTTTGAGACCTGAGTGATCACAGCTGTTTCTCAAATCTACCTGGAAAAGCGAAGCCATGGAAATAAAGACTGAGGTGCTCAGACCAGGTGGGGTTCTTGCGGGGGCTGGCTTCCCCTGTAAGACTGTTGGAGGAATGACCTTCAGGCCAGGTATCCTCTTGAAGGTTTAGAGGAAAGACAGGCCAATGGAACCTTAGGAAAACATCACATTACACCTGGAGCCACAACCCATATAAACTTATTTTGCTTCTTAGTTTACATTTTAAACCAATAATAAAATTTATTAAGGGTGCACTTTACATATAATAGAACACATTCTTTTATATCATATGGTTCGATGCATTTTGACAAATGTACCCACCCACGTAACCACCACCAGATCAAAATCTGCAGCATTTCCATCATCCTCAACAAGTCCCCTCACGCCCCTCTGCAGTTAGCCCGGGCCCTAAGCAATCACTGGACTGCTTTCTGTCGCTATGGGTTAGCTTTGCCTTTTGCAGAATCTTATAGAAATGATGCCATAGCGTACGACAGCATATTGAAGTGTGGCTGGTCTGCTCAGCGTAAGTTGGATGAGATTCATCCATGTTTGGGCATATATTCAGTGCTGTTGCTGTTGTTATGTGCCGTCGAGTCAGCCCCGACTCATAGCGACCCCTTCTTTGGGTTTCCAAGGCAGTATCACTACGGAAGTAGGATTGTCCAACCTTCCTTCCGAGGAGTGGCTGGTGGGTTTGAACTGCCAGCCTTCTGGTTAGCAGTCAAGTGCCTTAGGCACTGCACCACCAGAGCTCCTCTTATATTCAGTAGTCCATTTCATTATTATTATTATTATTATTATTATTATTATAACTGAGTAGTGTTCCATTCTATGGAGATGCCACAATGTGAATCCATTTGACTGTTGATGGATATTTGGGTTGTTTCCAATTTTTGATTATTACAAATAAAGTTCCTAAGAACATTTCTGTGCAAGTCTTTGTGAGGACATGAGATGGTTTCATTTCTCTTGCGTAGATCTCTAGGAGGAGAAGTGCAGGGTTATACATTAAATGCGTGTTTAATTTTTATAAGAGCCTGCTAAAACTCTTCCCATTTATCCCCAACAGGAAACTGTGGGTGTTCTTCTTTACTCCACATCCTTGCCTCGATTGCTTTTGCTAGTCTTTCTAACGGTTTTAGCCGTTCCAGTGGGCGTGTAGGGGTAACTCAGCGTGTTTTTAATCGGTATTTCCATGACAATGAATGATGTTAAGCATCCTTCCATACACCTATTGAAGTTTGCCATGAAATGTCTTACAAGTGCTCAGTTACATTAATATCTTAATACTTTTTGTGTTTGATGTTATTGTAAATGGTGTGTTTTTATTTTATTTTTTCCAATCGTTCATTGCTATTAGATAGAAACATACTTGAATTCTGTACATTGATTGACCTTTTGTTGACCTTGCAAAATTAAATAATTAATTTTAGTAGCTTTTTTTGGTAGATTGATTAGGATTTTTTATATGCACAATCATGATACTCAAAAAAAAAAAAAAAATCTCACTGCCATAAAGTCTATTCCAACTCACAGTAATCCCTGGGTTTCCAAGGCTACAAATGTTTATGGAAGCAGACCCCCTCATCTTTCTTCTGCAGAGCAGCTGGTGGGTTACATTCATGGTATCTGTTAATCGAAAGAGTTTCCCTTCTTCCTTTATAGTATATATTCCTTTTCTTTCTTTTCCTTGCCTTATTTCACTGGCTAGAGCTCCCTGTACAAAGGTGGATAGAAATGGTGACCGACAATATTTTTTCTTCATCTTAGGGGGTACGTGTTCAGTCTTTCACCATTAAGTATGATGTTGGCTATAAGTTTTTCATAAATGTCTTTTATCACATTGAATAAGTTCCCTCCTATTCCATTTTTGCTGAGAGTTCACATCATAAATGAGTATTTCAATTCTTTAATATATTTTTTCTCTATCTTTTGAGGTGATTCTATGCTTTTCCTCCTTTATTCTGTTATATGCTGAATTACATTGGATTTCAAATGTTAATCCAACTTGTAATTACCATTGGATAAACGTATTCTTTCTTACGCATTGCTAGACTCATTTTCCGAATGTTTTGTTAAGGATTTGAGCATCTATATTGATGAGGGATATAAAAAAACCTCAAAAGCCAAACTCAACTGCCATTGAGTTGGTTCTGACTCATAGAGACCTCCACTGGGTTTCCAAGGTGGTAAATCTTTACGGAAGTAGATGTCCCATCTTCCTTCCACGGAATGGCTCATGAGTTTGAACCGCCAACCTTCTGGTTAGCAGTCAAATGCCCTAGGCACTTTCTTTTCATTTAATATCTTTGCTTGATTTTGGTGTTAGGACAATACTGACCTCATGAAATGGATGTGCTCCTTCTGTCTTTTGAAACAGTACACTACCTATCTGTGTCTTTATATTTTACATACATTTCTTGTAGACATCATGTACTTGGGATTTTCCATTTTTATACAATCTGATACTTTCTGCCTCTTGACTGGTCTGCTTGATACATTTACATTGGTAGTTACCACAATATTTCAAAAATTTTCATCATGCTGTTGCCCACTTAATAGACTACACTACAATGTGAGCATAACTTTTATATGCACTGGGATACCAGAAAGTTTGTGTGACTCACTTTATTGCAGTATTTGCTTTATTG